TGCATTTGTGTCTGAATGACATTGTGGTATCCTGTGTCCACATGGTTTTATAGCTTTGGGGAACATCTGGCATACTATGTCTCTATACATTTCTGTGATCAGTGTGGACTACATTCCATGGAAATCTGGGTACGTCCCCTTTAAGAGGGGTGAAACCCCACCAGTCTTCAGAACCTCAGCACACCGTTTCCCAGCTCTCCTCAAGGCGCTGCGGCACACTGTCCAGAGGTCATGAACCTTGCTCCTCGCCAAGGCTAGTGGCGCAGTGACTACATTACCCGAGAGCCACTGCGCCGTACGTTGGCGTCGCTGGACCAATGAAGGCTCGGGAAGGAGGGCCTCTGGGAGGGACTTCCGGCGTCGCCCCACCTGCTATATTTCGTGTACTGGGTTCTGTCCACCGGTCAGACCCTTCCGAGAGCTGGATCGGCCTGATATGGCGAGTGCGGGAGAGCGCTGTCTCCCCTGCTCTGAGGCTCGGCGACTCCGCCGGGAGTGACCCGCGGCAGATCCGACGGGCACCGCCGTGTCTGGGTCCCGCCCCGGTCGGCCATCGCTCTTGGCCCAGCTCCGCCTACGGACCCCGACGGTCGCGTGCGGAGCGACCTCGCTCAGGTAAATGCTGTATCCAACGGTCATTCACCCAGCTTCTCTTATTCTGCATTAAAATTTACATATTTTTACTTTACGAGTGTCCTCTCAACGTATTTATACTTACTCCAATGTTTATTTATTCGTATATATATATTTACCCCTATATTTTATATTTATTTACCGTCTTCCGGATTTTGAAATATGACACGCATGGAGAAAATTGCACAGAACTTAAAATGTACAGTTTTTATAACTAGTCCTAAAATTAATGTGTTCATTGCCTTGGTCAAGAATTGGGAAGTAAATAACACCCCACAAGCCACCCGTGCAGTCCTTCCAAAACAATTATCCCAATCCCGAAAGTTAAGCAACTGTCTGATGTTTCAAGTAAGCATTTCCTGGCCTTTTTTTTGATAGTTTTACCAACTGTGTGGTAAATAGTAGGCTAACGTAGTTTAGTTTCTCCCCTTTTTAAAACTTTCTGTGAATGGAATCATATAATAAAGATTATAATTACTTCGTTTGCACAATATGTTGTGATTTTACCCATGTTTTTTATGTCTATTCATTTCGTTTTCAGTTTTTGCTCACTATTTCATGGTATGGTATGAATATGTGAATAAAATGTCTTAATATATTCTCCTGTAGGAGGCTTTTCTTTGTGTTTTTTCCTATGTTTTTCCCTTTTATGAGCGTTGCTACTGTGGCCATACCTGCATGTTTTCTGGGTTATATAAACACTTATTTGTCTAACATATATATCAAACGTAGGAATTTCTTTTTCACAAATAAAGGTTTAAATTTACTTTGTAATGCCAAACTGTTCTACAAAATTTTACCAATTTAGGTATACAGTAGTAGTTTATGGTATTTTCTAATTTCTGCAATTTTAGTAACCCTTGATAATGTCACCCTTACTGAATTTAGCTACTCCGATGAGTTTTGTTTTGATTTGCATCTCCTTGATTGCCATTAAGATTAAACTTGCCCTTTGTTTTAAAGAATTGCTTGCCTTCTGGAATTCTTGTATATGTACTATTTTTGAGTTGCTTTATTTCCCTCATTAATTTGTAGGATTATCAATTGAATTTTCAAATCATTCACTTATTTACATATTAACTTTAACAATTATAGAAGATTCAAATATTTTTTTCAAGTGTGTGGCTTGCTATATCCACGTTTATGTTTTTGAAGTATCCTTGTATTATGATAACAGAAGCCCTTTATTTTAATATAGCTGGATTTTTTTTATATATGTATTTATTGTTATGCTTTTTATCTTTGGTTTAAGAAATCTGCTCTACATAGGTAACAAGTGCATTCTCTTTATTAACTTTTAAGAGATATAATTTTTGTCTTCCTAGTTAAGCTTTATTCAGCTGAAATTACTTTTTGTGCAACATTTAATGTTATGCTTTTTATCTTTGGTTTAAGAAATCTGCTCTACATAGGTAACAAGTGCATTCTCTTTATTAACTTTTAAGAGAGATAATTTTTGTCTTCCTAGTTAAGCTTTATTCAGCTGAAATTACTTTTTGTGCAACATTTAAAGTGGTAGTTTAAATTATATTTTGCTATTTGGATAGACCATTGCCACAGAACAATTTATTTAAAAACTGCCTTTCTAATGCACTATATAGCACAACTGCAGCCATAAATCAGGATTGACACGTATTTGACACAGTCTGTCCCATTAGTTTTTAAATCTGAATTCTGTGCCACTATGTTAGTATCACACTTATTTCTTAATATAGTTTTATAATATCGTTATTTCTTGTAGAGTAATTACTCTATTCTTGTATCTTAAGGTAACTTTTATCTGTTCTTTACCAATTACCTTGTGACTTTTTAGAAATAGTTTCTTGAGTTCTGAAACTGTTATTAGCTGCTCTCTAGAAAACAGGTATTTTAGCAAAATTTCATGGTAATTTTGTATTGCAGCATCACCAGACATACCAAACTAAAACTTGACACTCTCAAGGATGCATTTTCTTAATATTTTAATTTTTAGATAATAAAGCATATTTTGTAACCCCTACTTTTCCATACTTGTGCTAGAACTGTACTGACTTGATATCTGTTTTTCTCTGAATATTTCTTCCAAGATAATTTATCCTGGTTTTCTTTCTGAGGGAACATTTTTTAAGGCATGTGTCAAGATTTTTTTTACTTTATTCTGAGTCTTTTGGCACTTTGTATTGTCTGTAATCCTGCACCCGCTTTTATGTTGAGAAGTCTGAGTTGTATTCAGAGATGATAGGGCTTTCTTACTCCAGTTCAATATATCATTTCTTTGTCCTTCATATTGTTTATTTTCAGTAATGTTTCTAGGTGTAATTTTTTCCCCCATTTTTAAAGATGCTCTCCTCTGTCATATTTTTTCTCCTTATTTGGTCTGTATCGTCCAGATTTGTTTCTTCCACCTCTATTCATCTCACCCCTTTTCTTTATATATTTTTTCCCTTTATTTTGTTCTGTTTTTTTTTTTTTTTTTTTTAAAGATGACCGGTAAGG